CGCTGGGAAGCAAGTTGGGGTAGGGGGTCTCTTTTCGGGTTGGTGTGGGGGAGGCGAGGGATCCCGTCCCTAGGGGAGCCGGTCCCGGCTGCGGGCGAGGTTTGTTGCCACCGTTGGGATGTTGGGAACCGTGGCCTTCCCCGGGCGGGAGCCTCCCGGGGGCTGAGAGGCTGGGGGGCCCCAGTTCCCCGAGGTCGCCCCCGCGCCGAAATGTGGGTGTGTGGCTCCCAGGGTGAAGGTTTTGAGATTTGGGGTTTTTTTCCGGTATCGGTAAAATAATGTTTTAAAACACTAGGTGAGTTTGCGTTTGAGCGTGGTGCTGTGTCGCAGAGAGCAAGTGAAACAAAGCGGGGATGTATAACCAGTGGATTTAAAAAGGATCGTGAAAAACTGCAGGAGTCTGGAGAAAAAGTTTCCGTTTCCTCTTTCTGACCCCTTCTCAGTCCCTTCCTCTTCTCCCTCGGGAAGCGGAGGGCTCTTGCTAGTCTGTTCTTCTCTAAAAGCCCCAGAGCTAATTCCATAGCTGTCAGTAATTGCTTCTCAAATTCTTTGCACATTCCCCACTACTCTTTTTTTTTTTTAACCCCCCCTTGTTTCCTTGCTCTCCAAAACAAAACAAACCTCTTAAAGCACAACAGTAATTACAAGGGAAGAAACAGCTTTTTGTGTTTACACCCTTGCATTTACTGTCCGATTTCTTTCTACCTCACCTGGCCTTTACTCGGAGACCTCTTCTGCTGGAGTGATAACAAAAGAATAGGTGTGTTTGATGTACAGAGTAGGTGTAGTGCTGGTAGTGAAAGTAGTCAGACATCTCCCTTTTCTCAACTCTCTCTCTGACGGAGAGTGATGCATTTAGCAACCAAGTTTACTCATTTCTTGGCTCTTCTGTGGAAGCTGAGCAAGACTTCGTGGCTGTGATCCTGTTATCTCCTCTTCTATTTATCTGTTTAATGAAAATGGAGGAGAACACAAATTTACTGCGTCTGTAATGTGGAGTGGATGCTCTTGAAAAAAGAGGAGAGCAGAATCAAACTGCCAATGTATTTCCTATTTGAATCTGATCCTAGTGACTTTCTAATCTAAACCCTTGATAGATTCGTTAGGTATTCACTCATGCTTTGCTATAAAGGCACTGGGTTTTTTCAAGCCACTGTTTCATACTTCCACTTCTTTTCTGGAGTTGTTCAGGAATTTATGTTCCTGAGCTTGTACTGGAAGAGATTTCCACACTCTTCTTACTTGGTTTCTTGCACAGAGGTAATACAGTAACATTATATAAGTGAATCTGCTGGTGATAGCTGTAATAAAGGTATTTGAATGCTTTCCTTTTTAGATGCATGAAGATGTTTAAATTTTGCCAAAGTTGACAGCTCTGGCTCTCCTTTTTTTAATACATATATTTGTCTCTAGCATGGAACTTCATTGGAAAATTTCATCAGAAAAAAGCTCTTCTCAAGAGTAAGGTTAGAGGAAGAAAAAAAAAGTTATTTAGTTTAAATTAAGGGGAAAATCTTGCCTATCTTGCAGGGGGGAGAAGAAAGTATCATGGAGGGTTGACATATTCTAATACTTTTACAGTTTGTAGCATAGGCTCTTCAGATTGAGTAGAATGCCCACCCTACATTCAGAATGTACCTCTTGGTATCTCTGCAAAATTTGCAAAGGACTGACTGCAAAATAGAAACTATTCACTGTGTGGTGTGGTAAGGGGATTAAAAAAAAAAGATATTGAAGAGAAACTCATTCAGTCACATCAACCACTCATTGTTTTCAATGAAGCAGAAATCTTGGGTGGCAGGGGGGCCTTTAGCCTGTTTTGTTAGTTATTGTCAAGATGTGCAAATAACCATTTATCATAAGAGTTAATTGCTTGGATAAATTTCATGTTTGTTACCTGAATGTTCTTTTAACACAGTCTGGACTACCTGTATTCATAATTAGTGAGCAGATCAGAAGCTATCTGCATCGGGCTGCTAGGTTTATTCATCCTAGAATGACTGAAGGTCTCTCCTGTTGGTTTTGGTGTTGACAGTTTGCTTGGGCTCGGGCACACAATTCTGTGTGCATTGAAACCCCCGAGGATGTCTGGAGATTTGCTTACTGGTATCAGTGTGCCTGCTTTTCCATGCACCTGGTTCTCCGTTAATGCTGCCTGAAGGTCCAGAAGTGCCTTCAAAGTGACATAGATGTGTAAAGGATTTGATTTTGATCTGTGTAGGAGTCGCACTGGCAGGGGGGGTGAAATTAGAAAATTGCTCAGAATTACCTAGCTGATCAAGCCTTCTCAAATAAGCTGTAGTCTTTCTAGACATTATGGTTGATTAAGGAACTGAAACTCTGCTCTTTTAGTAATGAATATGTCGCAATCCCCCACCCCCGGGTCTTGTCACAGTCGGTGGCAGAGGGACTCTGTGAAGGGCAGTGGCACCCCCAGCCATTGTGTGACTTTTCAATAGTGGCTTCTGCTGTTGTCATGTAGATTGCTTTGTGTGGCTTCTGAGCCAACAAAAGTATAAACCTCAGCCCTGAAATGAAACTTGTAAAGGTGTGTAAATCAGAAGCACTGTACCCTGGGGAGTAATAAATGTGACTTACTATTTTGCTAGAGAGACAGAGTAATCATTCACTTGCAAGAAGTGCACTTCCATGTCAGGTTTGGGGTAACTGAGGGTCTCTTGCTCCCCAGGGGGGAGACCTGCACTCCTGAAATGTCTTTTCCTGTTTGGATTATTTTATGTTATTCTGCACTGTATCCTATCATCGCCATCCATATAACTATTCTCAGGCTGCTTCTGAGTGAGAAAGAAGTATGGCTAGAGAAAAAGGTTTTTTTTCTTCTAGCTGGTGGTGAGAAAGCTGGAGAAGACTCTTCTTCTGGTAAAGAAAAGCAGCAAAGAACAAGATTATTTATTTTTTTTATAATTGAAAGTGTAATATTTAAACATTTCCAAAGCACTGGTGTGCTAAAGCTTGTATTAATCACAAAAAAAGCCTCCTTGATTGGAGGTGAAAGCATGCAGACACTTGGAGAAATTGCTTAGTCTCTATTCACACCTTCAGTAACTTGAGTTTTTGTGTATAGATAAATCCTTTGGCTCCCAGGATTGTCATATCAGGGGTTTTAAAAAATATTGTGAATCCTGTAATGTGACAGAGGCATAGATAGTAAATTGGAGAGGAAGCTGACAGATCTGGACCTTAATTCAGATCCACATGTATTTCAATGGTAAAATGCTTGGCTTTTAGCTTGTGCAACACTAATTGTGTGGGTATGATTACTACAGGACACATCTAATCTGTTTTCCCAAGTGGTTATTGGCTGTCCTTTCCAGTTGCTGGCTTCCCTCTGCCAGTGTTTCGTTTTTCCTTTTTAGTTTGACTACTTTGCTAATAGAATGAAGGAGGAGGGTCTTGGGCATGATGAGGACTTCTTTTAAAGTTGAAAGGATTCTCTTGAACTTGGGTTTTAAGCGCAACACAGTAGAATCTAAAGTAATAGATACTAATACTTCTGGGTCTCAAAACACGTTTCTTGGGCAAAGACATTGGTGGAGGAAAAACAAGTACCTTTAAGACCCGTAACACAGATACTAATGTTAAGTCTTAAGAGATTTGAGAGTGTGTATTACAGTAAGCTGTAACAGAAGCTGCAATACATATAGGGGAAAGTCTTTTTCTTCTGTATAATATTTGGTCCCTCTATGCACGCTTACTTTCAAACGGGTTTATAGTTAAATGACAAGAGAGAATAATGCATTGTCGTTAATATTTTCTAAAAGTTTGTTTCAGAAGGGGAGGGAAAGATTCTTGAAAGGATCTGTGTCTGACTGGAATATCTTATCTTTCAGTTAGCTGCCCCATCCTTGGGTAATGACTTATTTAGTAGCAATGCATATCTAGCAGGAGGCTTGAATTAGTGATTGCTGGTTCATGTTTCTTCTCTGTGGTTTTGGCCCTTATCCTTTTTGAAGCCGAGTTCCATGAAGCTGATTATGTGCAGGCTAGAGTTAATCTGTAACACCATCCATTTTAGTGACGCCTCTTACAAGGCAAAGTGTTGGTTGTGGCCAGAAGCAATCCCTCATTCCCGGAAATCAGTTAGTGTGTGTCTTTTGCATGTCCCTAGGTCTTCTACCTAGGGATGCAAGTTCATTTCACTGGAGTGGTTGGCTGCAGTTCTCGAAGGTTGTGGGGTGAAGGAAGGGTACCTGCCACACTGCACATTAATGAGCCCTTGGAATCAAGGACCTTAGTTTTGCAAAAATGGTTATAGCTTTGGCGCCTTCAATAATAGGGAAGTTTGGTTGTTGTGAGTCAGGATGTCACTCCTAGCTAGCCGTGTGAAACAACAGTGTCTCTTTCATGAAGGACCAGACTTGCACTGAGAGATGGAATAGTGTATTTTCATACTCTGTTACCTGAAAGAGTTTTAAAATATTCATAGCATCTTTCTGTTTGTTTTGCTTTCCTTTCCCCACCCCCCTTACTACTAAAAGGTCCGTCACCCAGTCATCTGTGTCAACAACCATGTCTTCTGTTCCATTTGTATTGAAGTGTGGCTGAAGAACAATAATCAGTGCCCAGCTTGCAGAATTCCCATCACGCCTGAAAATCCTTGCAAGGAAATCATAGGTAAGGACAACTTTAGGCTTTGAAATAACTTTCTGGTATTTACTGCTGGAGGAGATTCCTTTGAGTCCAAAGATGTCTGGATATTTTTTCCTCTGTGTTTTTTTACCAACATCTAAGGAAGATCGGACTTTAAATCTTTCCAGAAGCATGCTTAGTAGATACAAAGTAAAAATTCCAAAGATGATGCGTATATTAATGCCTAGATTATTCAGAGGCAGCGAGTACACTGTGACTGTAATGACTGGGTTTTTTATATCTTGGTTGAACAGTGCCTTTAACTAAAAAAAATGCATCTTGCTTGAAGTACTCCACCTATGCATTGGCACCTGTTGACCTAAGAGAACAGCATTTAGCTGAGAAATTGTGTACTTAAATCCAGAATCTTGAACGAGTGTGAGGTCTTTTTTCTTTTTGTTTGTTTTGTTTTGTTCACAATTTCTTCCCTTCTGCTTTATTTTTAAGAAAATGTCTCTTGGCACAGAAATAAGGCAAAGCTACAACACCTGAATGAGGATCTGAACTTCCTCAGAGCTAGGAAGTACTGTGATCTTTATTTGACATAAAATGTCATCTCTGCTGTTTGGTTCTGAGAGAAAAATATATATGAACAATCTCACTTTAGAAACTTTTACTTCTAAACGTTACTAATAGATACTCCTGTTTAACCTGTTATGAAAATTAAAGGACTTTAAATCTCCCATGGTAGTAGATTGGTCCAATATTAGGTGTATTTGTAGTTGATAATATAGCAGTATAAGGTGGATTATTAGTATTGAATTGACTGAAAAAGAAACATTATTTGTGTTTCTTTCATCCTATGCTGCTTTAGGAGGAACGAGTGAAAGTGATCCTATATTTAGTCCCACAGTCAGAAAACACCTACGTAAAACAAGGCTTGAATTGCTCCACAAAGAATATGAGGTAAGGACATGAGGAGTGTTGTGACTTTCCAGATGGAACTGCAACTGTTAAATTACTGCATACAACTCGTCCTTTTGCTTTGAGTCCCGTTGTTTTTAATTTGAGGAAAGATTTATACTGGATCTACATAAAATTCAGCTGCAATAAAATCCCACCTTCTGATTAAGGTTACGAGAGAGCATTTGCTGGTGCTTGAAGTGGTCCCACTGAAATCATGGTGATATGCTTTCTGTGCTACAGTTAGCCAAGTATATCTAATTCTATAGTTTTGTGGGAATTCCACCCCCAGGGTGGAGTATAGCAGGGTTTTCTTTATGCTTATTAGGTGTTGAGGGCTTTTTGTTTTGTCTTCGATACAAATGCAAACATTTTCTGAAGTAATTCCCTGTTGCTCAGGGAGACTAAATTCCTTCTTAAGGAATATTGCCCACTGTAACCTTCTGGCATAGGTTAATTTTTATCACTGTCACTTTACTGTTTTCTGAAAGTGAGTGAGTGCTTGGAAGTTTATCACCTCTCCTGCTGGAAAAATACTCTCTTAGGAACAAGGTGAAAAGGTGTTAATAAGGAATATGCCTAGTTTGTTTTCTCAGCTCTTGTTTCCTTAGTAGCAGCAGTGTGAAGACATCACATATTTTGCAAGGAAACGTTGCAGGGAGGAGAACGAGAAAAAGGAAACAGACACTGTATATATCCTTAACACTGGGGAAGAAAGGGCTGTCTTTTATGACAAGCTTGTCTGTAGCTCAGCTTCTTTCATGCTCTGTGAAAGAAGGAACCAGGCCTGCCTTTCTATTGAATCAACTCCAAAATCACACAGAAAGGCATAGGATAACATAAATCTTTTTAAAAAAAAACTAAATTTAAAATCATTGTTCTCATGCCGGGGGGGGAAGCTTGATTATTCGCGCAAATAAACCTTTGGTTTTATGTAGATGTTATATATGGCCTCCTTTAGTAATCTAACCTTGAGCAACTCAAATACTTGAGTTGGTGAACAGTGTAGAAGACATGTTAACATCCCTTTAGCAACAGGCTTTTGAAAGTTTTTGCTTCTCTGTGGCTTCAAACCAACCCAGCTAAGAGCTTTGTTCTTTGCGTTTTGAGAGTCTTTCCTAAGATATTGCGACTTTCATGTAGCTGGAGCAGCCTCTTCCAGGCCGTGTTCTGTCCATTTTGAATCTTGAGACTTTCAGCATCCAAACATGTGATGTTTCAGAATGATAGAGAGAAACATTCTCAAATAACAGCAAGTGAGTCAGCAGAGGACGACCTTAAGAACACTCTTGATAATACAGGAAATCCTCCCACAGAGTGCCCTAATAATAGATTCACGTTGCTGAATGCTTTGAAGCTTTTGGTCTGCCCGCCGGTTTGTTCAGGGTCCTTTATGTAGTCCAGGGATTCCCTTCACTAAAACCTTCACTATGCTTGAGTGTGCAGGTTGATTAAAATCCTGCCTAGAGCACAATACATAAGCATACTTAGATATATGTGTAAGTGACGGCATGCATCTGGGCTTGCCAGAACCCATGTTTCTAAAGTGCTGTGGGAACTTGCCAGTATTATTTAATTAATCTTGCACGTTATTTTAATTCCTGTGAATTTCTGATACCTTTAGGATGAAATAGAATCCCTGCACAAAGAAGTGGAAGATCTGAGAGGTAAAAATCTCAGTTTACAGACACAGCTGAAATCTCTTCTGAATCCTACGGCATCAGCTTTGTCTTGCCAAAATGAAACTATCCAGTCAGCAAATGAAGCAAGTACCAGTGGCCCAGAAACCCCAGAGGAATGGAGCAAAAAGCTGAAAGCTGCCAATGATATATATGAAAAAGTGATGGATAATATGGAAAAGCTAAAAGAGGTAATAAATACATTTCTTCAGCTATCTTGTGGTGTAACTGTTTTGTGCTAGTTAAACGGGAGTGAGAGCTAGCATGACCTCTGGGTACTTCATAGATCCAGAAGAAAGAGGAAAAAATTGAATTCCAGTGACTGTTGGTGTATCATAGTATTTCCACATAGCCTTTGTAAGCGTCAGATGTTATTGCTTGTTCTAGTGAGTCTTGTACATGACTCTTCTTCAACTCCTCTGTCACTCTGTGACTGGGTAATTGGATTATAGTAGCACTTGTCACCAGTATTGATGACCAGATTTTTCAGGCTTACAATAATCTATATAATATATCTATTTTACAACATTCAGTGGCCAAACACAGTACAGTTGGCTGATGTAGATTTTGCACTATTGCCCTCCCTGCTAGCCGATATTTTTGGTGCAATTTGCTGAGGCAGGGTAACTTGACCCTTTGACCGAAAATTAGACAAGCTTCAGCATTTTATGACCAGAAGATCCTTTACTAGAAACCTGCAGCTTTTTTATACATCTTGAATGTAATATAAAAGAAAACCTGATACTGCCAAAGGAGGGATGCAGGAGGTAGTCATGTGAAAATACATCTAAATAAAAATATCTTGCAAAATCTGCCTGAGGGCACAAGAAGGATCACCACAAACATTGAAGAAGAGTGAAATTTCAAGATGAATTTGCAAGGCAAGGTGAAAAGAACTGGACTTGTATTAATTCAAAATGCTGCCTTTATTTCTTCTATTAACAGTCCTGGCTTGCCTCCCACAAAACTGAAGCATGTTTAGGACTTTTTTTCCTTTGTAAGCATTAATAGTGTTAACACTTTTCCTGTGTTACAGACTCAGAGGCCCACATTATACGGCTCTGCCATTCTGTTGTTGTTAATGGGGCACTTCTAGATTTGCCTCTGTGTAGTCTAAAGCAAATTCTGGCCCTGATTAGACTGTGTGATAAACACTAAAAGGAATAAACTGCATTTCCAAAATTAGCTTTTTCAATAGCTTAGGTGGACTCAGACTTCAACTTTACAGACTGGGACACATGTTCTACCCTCCAAAGAGAATCCTAGGAGCTTCAGAATCACTTGTAGTTGGCAGAAGGGGATTTGCAGCAAGGAGTTCTTGTCTGCCTAATTTTTTTGTTGTATTTTGTGTTTTGGGTTTTTTTTCCTGTAAAGTTAAACTGTACTGCCTCTGTTTTTTTGTGGTGACTAAGGTTTTTAACTTTTTCCCTCAGTAAGTAAAAAGAAGAATATAGCAGGGACTGAGGGAGGAGTGTGTTTCGGTTTTTTTCAGTATAACTTCAGCCTTAGCAAGAAAAGGGTTTTAAGTTTATGCAGTCTCTGAATTTGGTTAAGGGTTAGATACGAATAGAGGTTTAGATGTGTGTTAGGGACCAAGTCTTAAACTGTGATCATAGAATAATTTAGGTTGGAAAAGACCTTTAAGATCATCAAGTTCAACACTCTCTTCCCGTCTGTTCCCTGTTCCCAGTGAGAGAGGGTCTCTCAGAAAATGTAGTTGCCATCACTTTTTTTTTTTTTAAACTAGACTGAGTCAGGAAATAGCAGCCACCTTTATCATTTAATGTCCTAGGGCAGAGACTCCCAAAGTAGGCATTATTACTTTGAGTGGAGTCAAGTATGGAAGTGGTGATACAGAGCCAGTAGTAGAAATACTAGACAAAGTATGCTCATTAATAACACGGTTACATGAACTCGTTAATCTAGACATTGTACTGCAAGTGGGGATCCCTTGAAGATTACTGGCTTGGAGAGTAGAAGAAGGACTCTCTGGAAGAAGGACACCTGCCATGTGCCAGGTGGATGCCCTAACTACCAACTCTACACAAGTCATGCAGTTTCCCATTTGATTGTGTGACTGGGGGAGCTGTGTCGCTGGAAAGAGAGAAAGGTCTTGGCCATGTTGTCAAATGGTTTATGCTCCTTTGGAAATGAGAAGTCCTGGATTCTTACTCACTGCTTTCAGGATAGTTTTTTGTGCTTTTATTTTTTAAATACTAAAAAATTGACAGAGGCACCCAAGCCCTGGGCTCACCCTTCCCGTTTCTTCTTTACCAGAAGTGTCTGTTTACTCCTTCTGCCCCTAGGAATATTGTGGTTTTTTGTTTTGGGAGTTTTTTGGCGGGGTGGGAGGAGTGGGGTTGGTTGGGTTTTTTTTCTGCTCCATTCCTCTTACACCCCACTGTCTTAGCCTCACCTGGAGAGGTTGCTGGGGGTATTTGTATAAGCATTGAGAGTTTTCTGCCTCTCTTCTTGCACTGTTTGATGCTCCTGGAAACAGTACATTTCACTCCTGAGCCCAGTTGCATAGCTCCGTCTTCAGATCTAACCCTAGATCATGCTTTTATTATGCAGTGGAAGCGTCATCTAGTTGAGGCTATGAATTACGAGTTCTGGACTGGTGGTGCCGTTTTCAGCATACAGAGATTGAGCAAACTATGAAGTGCAAAGAGTATTTTCTACTTGTTAGGGTGGTGGCATTCATTTTTCTGAAACACGGCAGCAGGAAAACTTCTCTTTATATGAAGTATCTTGTTAACAAGGGTATCTGCTGAACTGAGAAGAAGGAATTGACCTCAATTCAAGGAGTAAGAAGGTTTGTGAATCGGGAGTCTTAGTCACAACGTCCTGGAAGAAAGTGAAGAAAGACTGCAAATAGCTTGTCATAATGGATTTACATCTATAGGATAACTATGCTTTAAAAACAACAAGCCAAAAAAAACAAAGTAATCTTACTCTAATTTGGAATGGAGGAAGCTGTTCAACATTAGTTTTGCTGATACCTGCATATTGTAATGTTAATGTACTTTACGTATTTAGTCATGTGGAAAAAAAAACATGGAATTGCCATTAGTACGTCTCCTTAATGACTTTCTGTACTAACTAACATAGCTGTGTTTATTTCCCTAGATAGGACATTTGCGATGTATTTTGGGAATATAAATAAAAAATGTCCGTTTGCTATTCAGTTTTGCAAGCCATTTCCCATGGTGATTTTTAAGTGGTGTCCCTGTCTGAAGGCTGTTTCCTGCCTTCACATTTCTAGTTCTGTCTCTTTAAAAAGGAGAAACAGCTTGTCCTATAAATATTGGAAGTCATTTCTGTTTTACTGTATACTTATTTTTTTCCCTTTCTTTTCCTTAGGCGAATAAGAAACTGAGCATGGAAAACAATAGCCTTTTAAGAGAGAATTTGCGACTAAAAGCTGAAGTCGATAGTAGATCACCCCAAAAGTATGTGAATATTTTAAAAGCTACCGTATTTTATTTACAGACTGTTTAACTATTGTAGGACTTCAACCTAAAACTGTGGTGGTGTACATGGTGTTGCATATGTGTCTCCAGGTAGACTTTGGAATTTTTATCCTCATAGACTTGGGTGACGAATACAACTTACAGAATAGCAGCAAGTCTATGGCAAAGGAATATGACATAACACAAAGAATAGCACTTGTAGTCATCTGGCCAATATTGAAGGACTGGATTTATGAGTTGAATTCTACAGTTAACTTATCCAAAGTCTGGTATATGGACAAAGTAGAAGGTCTGTTGCTGAATGCAGAGGTTATTGTTGTTTGTGTTTGGCTTTGTTTTCTTCTTCCTTTTGCTGTTTTCAGGGTTTGTTCTGTGGAGTTAGGCTCCCTATTCAAGGAAAGTCCCTGATAGCTTTGTGTCTGCGAAAGATAGGCAGAATCGAGCTTCTGCAGCAAGAGAACATCATTCCCAGAACTGACACCTGTGTTTAATACTCTGTCATAAACAGTTAAAACATCTACGACAGTGGCCTCAAAAAGCAGAAACTTTGCTGTACTGCTTACAGCTGTGTGCTAAGGTTCCTCTTCCTTTGTAAAGCAACGTGTTCATAATTTTAAAGCTGTGTTCCATTCTTTCTTTGGTTTTCTACCTTTTTTCTCTCATTAATGTAGAACTTAGAAAGCTAAGAGCAGCACTGGCTGAAGGTTTATATGGTGCTTTTGAGGAGGGTGTTAGAGAGTACCTGTGTAATGTGAGAAGAGAGCTCTCTGGATTTTGTTGTAGTTCACAACTCACTCACTGGAAGATGAAATTCATCCTTATAGAGAACTTGCTTGCCAGACTGCTTGTCATTCCAGACCACAGGGAAGAAGATGTATGATCCTTATGCTGTGCTGTTAAATGCATAAAAGTACATTCTGCACTGAAGTCCCCTAATAAGGGACATAGAACCTGTTTAAGGTCTTGGCAATGGAGAAGGCTTTAATGGCATGGAATATCTTTTCCCATAAGATTTGAGAGTGAGTTGGCAAAGATGGCAAACTTAAGTAAATAGATGTAACTAAATAAATCCTAGAAAAGAGGAGCTAGAAGAGACCAGATCATCTAACGTGATTTTACTTTACCGATGTCAGATAAACTCACCAGTGGAGAGGATTCCATTTCTTCTAGCTTGTGCATGCTTTACCATCCTATTGGTCAGAAAAATTTGATGTTGGGGATGGGGTGTGAAGAACTACTCTTGGTTGCAAGCTGATTATCTTCCCATCTTTTTCCAGTATGGCCTGAAAAAATAGCCAGTCACTTTCTTCTTTAGAAGCACAGATATAGCCAAATGTTATCAGAAACTGGACAGTGTCAAGGTCTGTTTTGCAACTCAGGTGCCAGCTAGATTGATCTGTCCATGTCTCTACTATTTAACAAAATATTCTGTGATCTTGCAATACCCTTTTTGTTGCTTCCTTTTACCTGGCACTTCTAGCATGAATGGCCAGTACCAGTTCTGCTAACCTACCTAAAGAGGTACTTAGAAAGTTACCTTCCTACCTCATTTTGCATTTTGCTGCTAATGTCCCCTTCCAAAAGTGTGTGACTTTACCCACTTACTGGCATTCTTCAGGGTGGTGTTGTGATGCATGTGTCAAACTTAAAACAATTCTTTTGAATTCCAGTCACATCCTTCAGGTGGTAGGAAGTTTCTCCCATCTTAGTGTTGTTAACAGATTTTATAAATTAACTTTTCACCCCTGTAGTCATTAGTCTGGTCAATATGTAAACCAGACCTAACATCAAGACATTTTTTAAATGTTCCTCCAGTTCTGATGGCAAACTTCTTAGATATTATCAAAGTCTTTCAGCTAGGCTTCACACCCTGAACAGGGGTTGCAATAACTGTTTCCTTACCTTGCTTATGAAATCAGAATTGAAGGCATAAGCATCAGAGCCTGACAACGTCACTATAATGAAACGTTTCTGTGCAGGTACACTGATTTGCCAGTACAGTTGTTTTGGTGTACTTTGTTCGGAAAGTAATTTTTGGAAAAAGTTTCTCAATGGCTCTCTTGTGCGATTTAAAATAGCTATTGGATTGGATCTTCATAATTTAGTGTCCCCACCATTGTTTCATTTGTCATATATTTCTTAGCTTCTGATTATCAGATGTGGATTCATGCTTAAATAACTGGCTAGGTTACTAACTAAAACTTGCATCAAATTATTTGTGAAAGGATTTCCCCTTATCACAAATGTAGTTCATTTTGTGCATAATGGCACTGGAGCTAAATACCACAACCTGAATTATTTCCAGTAGGCTTTGCTTTATAGCAAAGGAAACACTGACGACAGGTGAATGATCCCTTTGTAACACAGACTCTACCTCTGACATCACGGGAAAAATATAATTGGCCTTCTTCAGAGGTCAGTAAAAAACTTTCCTTTTATCATAGTCTTGAGTTGCTTTTTCTTCATTCGTATCCATTAAAAACTACTGAAAAATGTCATGTATGTCAATAAAATTGACACTGCAGCCATGTCAGGGATTTTTACACAATTTTTTAATTGATTATGCAGATTGATTAGATTCCCTCCCCCCAAAAAAAAACATTTTTGAAAATAGACCTTCACCAGAATACCATACCATCATATAGTGGGGACGTAGGTCTGAAAAGAAAATAGAGGTAAGTTTCTTGCTCTGATCATTACCAAAGACCTATGTTAGTCTCATAATTCTCTGGCAGATCAGACTGATTGTTTGGTGGTTGTTGCTTGCTCTTTGTTTGCTCTTTTTCCTGAGGAATTTTCAGTGACTTCCATTTTCCTGATACAGAACAGGAAAACTTCTAAAACATAAGTTGTGCAGGATGATAAAGCCCTATTACTTCCAGCTCTACTTAAAATAGAAAACTGTTAGGTCTATTGGCAAGGCACAAAGGATCTAAAAGCATTTTTGGCAAAGCGATGTTTGCTTTTTACCTGAAGGAAAAATAACTAGCAAGTCCATCTACTCCAGGGTATAGTGTATTTTATGAATGGTTAGATTCAAATTAGCTTGAACCAGACTTCTAGGCTTCCTAGGAGTCTTTTCCCTAAATATTTAATTTCTTCTGCCAGTTAAAATCCCAGTCTGAAAAACTATCTGTAACATGCAGAAAGTTGTTGCATTATCTCTTTTCTCTGGTTTTGTGAGTTTTGTTGTTGTTTGGGGGTTTTTTTCCCCTTTCTCCAGTTTTACTGTTTCTCTTATCTAGACTTGTGACTTCAGGTACCTGCACGCTGAAATCTAAGGCTGTTGACTTTTTAAGGTCGTTCTGTACAACATTCAATTTTTATCTAACTCAAATTTCCACTCACGCCAGGCTATTTAATTCAGTCTGTATTTCACTGAGCTTACAAATAGACTTCTAGTAACCTGCATCCAGGGTGCAGAGGGTAAGAACGCTGCTGTCTTCCTTGATAGAAAACTGGACTACTTTCTCACCTTCCCACAAGCTTGCTGTCCCAGAGGAGTGGCCATTTTCAAAAAACAGCTGCAGTGTGGCCTTAAAAGTAAATAGAGCAAAATGCTATTCAGTGGCCTTCAAAGCAACTCTTGAGTTTTTGAGTCATGGCATATAAACCCTGAGGAAGCACCCACTTTCAGGCATGAAGATCTAAACCTTGGGCAAGTGGTTAAGGACATTCACATCTCAATTCTTGTTTTGTCAGTTTTCCGGTGCTTTTTTGTAGTAATTCTGAAGTAATCCTTTCTGGCTTATGCTATTCACTGACCTCGGGTATAATCTGGCTTTCCTACATGGAAGACCAGTGCTGCTTCACTGAAAGATGTTAAAATGCTTGGAGAGGCTTTGCATATTTGTCTCAATTCACTGAATTCCCTAAACGAAAGGAGATACATTCTTTGAAATAAATGTGTCTGACTTGGCTGCTCTTCTGATCAAATCCTGCTGCTCTACAGTCATCCAACAAACAGTGAAACTTGGCATTACTCTGGTGATGTGAAAGAAATGTGTTTCCCTGATGCTTAGGAGAGATTTCGTGAGGAAGCCCTGTGTCTTCAGATTGGTTTGTACTCTGTGAACTGTGCGATGAAGGGGATTTACTACCCTGTATTTGCTTATATTGAAAATAACTTGTTTATTTTTTAGAAAATCAGCTATAGCAGGTGTTTCTACTACTTCCTTCAAGAAGGAGCCGTTACACACATTCTTCTGTCAGGCAGCCTCATCTGCAGAATGGAAAGCAATAGTAGGCTATACCCAGGACGTTATCTTGGGTGGAACCAAATTGCATTACTGAATTTTTTTTTTTCCCCCTGGTTTCAGATCTTAAATAGTGCAACATGCTTGAGGTGTCTCACCTGACTTTTTTTCCCTTTTTCTCTTTTGTTTGCTAAGAAGAGGCCCCTATATGACAGTAATTGTTTGTTTGTTTTTTCTTCTTAAATATACCTATGCAAATATGACAGACTTTTAAGGCAATTGTATATAACCTGGGATGTTGTCAAGACGTTGCTGCAGATCACCTTTCATAGTTGATTGCAGAACTCGTTCTTGTCTGGCTGCATTTGGTACATGGTATCACAGAAGGCTGTAGAAATCAGTAAGGCTTTCAGCTGTTTCTTTTGTTCTTGGATTTCCTACCTCTTTCTTCCTATGTAGCTACAGAACCCAAGTGAAAATATGTATCTAAATGATGGGACTGGGTTTGGTTGTGCACTCTGGCATTGCCCTGATCTCGAACTGTGACAAGCCCTAACTGTACACTGGCATTTCCTACTTCTCACCCTTTGTCCCCTTTGGAGGATGGATCATGCTCATGTATCTGAGCTGCAGGGCAGCCCTCAGTCTGTGCCATCAGGTAATTAGAACTGGAGAGTTGTGGACCATGGCATCCTTGCAGCCCTGGTCTTCTGTAAATGGTTATACAGGAAAACTATTTGCTGCAGCTGCTTGCTATCCACGGAGATAATTGTTTGTATGAGGTTGTGTAGTGTTAAACTGAGTTGATACGAGTTAAGGGCTCAACTAGAGAGATCTGCTACAGTCAGCGGTCACTGATGTGTGAAAATAAAACCCTAAAGCTGAATTTACAGAACTGATAGATGAGAAGAAACATCTGAAGAAATTTGTTCTCTTGAAGCTGAGAGACTATTAAACTTCCCAAGCAGTTTCTAAACAGACATCAGATGCCCCATCCCTGGAAACACTCAAGGTCAGGTTGGATGAGGCTCTGAGCAACCTGATCTACTTGATGTCCCTGCTCACTGCAGAGGGGGTGGACTAGATGACCTTTAAAGGACCCTTCCAATCAAAAAATTCTATGATTCTATGATCTTCAGGAGTATTCAAACATAACTGAGGGAGCAGTTGTGAAAAAAATGTGAAGGAGGGTTACTCAGACATTATAGCTATAAAATTAGTTCTTCTTGCTCACTGTAGTTGAGAGCTGACTGCAACTTTCTGGTTGGTGTCAAGTTAGAACCATGCTGGTACAAGAAGGAACGACTCTGACTGAGGAAAGATCCTGAAGTATGGGGTTCAAGGGCTCATCTAGACATCCAGTGTCACCTCTGACACTATACCATATTGCCTGGGGCTGGCAATTGTGATAGAGGACCTATAGGATACCTGTATCTTTCCAGAGTGATAGCTAGAGGCCAGCAGTGATGTAAAAGACCTTACGCCATAAAATGTCACTAGGTGTCTGTGGTGAACGATGCAAATCCCACCTTGAAATGTCTTTCTGTTCACTTTATGAGTGACCACTGGTTTCTCTGGGCTTTCAGTTTTCTCTAGAAAGGATGTTCTTGAAACAAATGCAATGACATACAAACTCATTGTTTAAGTGATACAACTAAAGAACAAGACCCTAACACTGAAAAGATTTTGTCCATGTGTGAGGATATGAAAAGTGCTCATTACCACATGTATACTGAACACCGTAACTTCTACTGAAGAATGTCTCACCTTGTTGCCATGTGTGAAATGGTTCAAATACTTCAGGAAAAATAATTTATCTAGGGTGTCAGGCCAAACTTTAATGTATTTTCATCTAGCTGTACTGCATTCTATTATTACTATCATCAGCCCATAACTTTTTGGCTATGGCACAGCTCACTGTACATCTGAAGGGAAAAGAAGAGGAAGTCTCTTGGCAGAGTGGTTTGGTTTGGGGAGATGGGGAGGGGGAGGGGCGGTTCTGGCTTCTTTAACCAAAATATGCATGTCTTTTAAGCTCTGCTGACCTCCCAGGTCAGTCATTAAAACACCTATGTCATGCTCTGGACTGGAGTAGTTGGTTTAAAAGCATGCATTGTTATATGGCTGTCTTAAATATCCATGTCCTTGAAATAAATTGCATGCAAGTCTCAAAGCAGGAGCAAAAAGCAACTTGTGTTCTGCTGCTTAACTGCAGAGGTAACTGTTTGTAGGTGGCATATCATATGCTCCATTTCTGAAAACCGAAATTCCTACACATCCCGCTATAACAATTAACATATTAGTGATGCTGTTTGGCTTTGAACAACATACTGTATTTTTTTTAACCTGAGGACACTTGTTATAAAAGTTGCACTTGAGAATACAGTGCTGCTTCCTCATAAGCAAATCTCAGGCTGTCACTAATGCTATTTGCATTAAATAAACATAATACACCATTCTTCCATTAAAAAGGAATTGCCAGGTATGCATATAAATGTAAACATGTTTAATTTTTATGTCAAAATGTCTGTTACGGCAGACCCCGGAAAATCTTGCTTATTTTACATAAGCATTTTTCCCCATCTCTCACTCAGCTATTAAGCTAAATTGTATTTTTGCATCATTTTTATATCCTTTATTAGCAGTGTAGGGTTTGCTCCTGTAAGGCTGTGTGAACAGATCTGTTGGAGAACGGCACAATAAATACTTTTGGATCACCCTAGGAAGCAGGAAGGGTCTTGCTTGTGTCCTGCTGTGCTACAGTGGCTCCTTCAGTATTTTAAACCAAAATCTGAGTTTCTTTTAACTGAAGGAGGAAATAAGCCAAAATGCATTGTATATGAGATGCTTATTTCATTGTAACCCCCTTCACCTGAAAATATAATTGAAATATTCCTGAGCTGTCTGTGATTCTGCTTTTATCTAGTTTCATAGGGGAGCGGAAGGAAGTCCTATGCACCTTTTCTCCCATTTTCTTCTTGCATGCAACCAGAAATGTAGAAACTGCTATAATCAATTGAGAAAACTTGTTACCCATAGAGTAAGCAATTGAAAAATATTCTGTCTTCATTTTTTTGAAGACAAAGGTAATTGGGTAGGGGTAATGCAGAGGTTGGGGGGGTCCTTGCCTCAATAGAGTTCCAATACAGCCAGCTTCTTTTAGGGGGAAAAAAATCTAAGTAAACACTCCTATTCTAAATACAAAACTACTACCTTGCCATTTTGTGTTTACAAAACAGTGAGTGGCACACACCAAAACCATGTGGAGCTTAGGCTGATCTGATTTTAAAAGTGGTCTAGTAGCAGTTCTGTGAAAGAACTGACTTGGACTGTTGTCCAAGAGTGTGAGAATCTTCCCCGCCCCTGAACCATCTACACCAAACTCTTCAAAGTCCTTTAAATATGCAGAAGCAGCTGAATGGTGAAATATGTCAGTAGATCTGGTCGCCTCTGCCCAATTTTTTGGGGGCTTGTGATACCCTTTATTCCTTTCCCCAACTGCCCACTTAACTGTATTGCAGCTGTCAGCGTAGAGCAGTTTCCTACTGCTTTGGGGTCAGGAACTGAAGAAACAAAATACAGTTTGGTTCTTTGCTGGAAGTGCATGCATAGATTCATGGATATCTTCCCAGCATAGTTGCAGGCCCCAAACAGACCACCTTCAGACCTCGCTGGTCTAAGAGTTGCAGTGGGAGCATTTTGCAAAGGGTGAGGGGATGGAATGGGGAAGATGGAAGGGGAGTTCCCTGTGACACTGAAGGAGGGACAGACAGACAAAAGAAACGGTGGAAATTCCAGGCAGCATTTGTGCTAGAAGAGTGAATATAAACTTGTGCTGTAACATGAAGCTGCCAGATGGAAAGCAGAGATTAGTGTAAGCCCACATACAGAATTGTCATTTCTTTGTGATAGAAAACCTTGGGTGTCAGAGTTGTAGGGTGGCTGCAGGTCCTTTCTTCCTTCCTAATAACACCAGAACTTTAATTGTTTTTTCCTTCTGTAAATTGAAATCCTTGAATGGAGCAGCGAATTCCCTGGTGCCCACCTGTCAGTGACAGGTTAGAATGAGTCAGGGCATATAGCTGAAACCTTCACCTGCTCTCTGGGGAAGGTCAGTCTTGAAAGCTGGTGGAGGATGGGGGGAAGGCAAGTCTGCATCTTGGCAGTTGAAAATGTGCTCCAACTGGAAGCCTCACGAACACACAACTTTCACAAACCACAAGTGGCAGGTTTTTTGTATTGGAGTCAAGGAAGAAATTAGATTTTTTCCAGTTGTAAAGGTCAAAAAAAACCAAGTAGGTCTGAAGTAAGTGGAAGTGCCATCCACATGATGGTGAAGAAAAAGCGGTATATCTAATGGGAACATAATTGAAATGGTCTGTATAAGTATTTAAACCACTTCAAAGGACTATTGCAATTTCTGAATTTCATATTGGCATTTTATATTTGACAAGGTGACATTGTGTAAGAAATCTATTGTAAAACACTGCTGTACTGTAGGAAAATGATTGAATGTAAATATTTCAAGATGTGGACCACTGTTCAAATGTTATCATAAATCTTTGCCATTGTTTTAGGGGATAATTCTTCATGCATATTTGAGTTGAATTGATAGAACCAGCCCCTGGAAGGGTAATCTGCTTGCTATTGCCTTACTACCACTAATAGTTTAATTTTGCCTTTTCAGGTATTCACCTCCACCTCTGTGTTATATATGATTATTTATTTTTTTCATAACTAGCAGAGAAAAGTTCTGACTTTTGTTTTCAAATTAACACAGTGTTTAATAGCTTTGTTCTTTCTTGAAATGAGCTCATAAAGCACCATGAGGATGTCTTTTTCCAGTTTAATATTTTCTTTCTTCTTTAATTCTTGCAGGTTTGGTAGGTTTACAGTAGCTGCACTTCAGTCCAAAGTAGAACAAAGTGAACGTGAAATGAACCGTCTAAAAAAGGCACTGGAAAGAAGTGATAAATACATAGAAGAAATGGAGTGTCAGCTTTTACAGCTGAAAAACGCAGGCAAAGGAACCCAGACAGTGAGTGCTGTTAGTGAGAGAGCACTTTCCACAGATGCAAAAGGAGCTGAGAGCAGTGCAGATACAACATGTTTGAAAACCCAAGTTGAGGAAAAAAAAGCTTTGACCAGCAATCAGAGTCCTGACAGTCTTGAACAGATGACAAATGGTGGAACTTGTTTGAGCTCTTCAAGTCAAGATGGTTCAAATGGCTCAAATACCCAGTGTGCCCCAAAGAAAGATCTGTTTCCAGGATGTCATGGGGTTCTCCTGGATGACAATACTACAAATATGGATGCCTGCTTAGAAGAACAGTGGAATAAAATTGAGGAATGTACCCCATATAAGGATGAAGAACTTTATGATCTTCCACCACCATGCACTCCTTTTCTGTCTCTGAGTCGCCTTCAGTTGAACACTCCTGATGGAAAAGAAAATGCAAGGAAACCATCAACATTCCTGAGAAAACTGAAATTTGAAGAGTTTTGTGACACTTCAGATGACTGCAGCAAAGATTCTCCAGAACACAGCACAAGCAGCTGTAATAGCGAGAAGAAGCTAAACTGTTTTACTAGAGGAAAATCAGGGTTTTGGGGGACCTGCCCAACAAATTTTGCTGACAACTTAGATTTTGATGAATCAGAGCAAAATTCAGCAGCTGGTCAGTCAGATGAGTCATCAGCTAAGTCCAGTGATAAAACAAGTTCTTGCTTACCTAAAAGGTTACATACTGTCTGCTCCTCTGAAATGAATCGCACAAGAACCTCCAGTGAGGCATCTATGGATGCTGCCTACCTCGATAAAATTTCCGAGTTGGACTCAATGATGTCTGAATCGGACAACAGTAAGAGTCCATGCTATAATTTCAAGTCCTCTGATCTTGATAATTCTTCAAAGTCAACAGAGTGCTCTAAGCTTCTGAATGAAGCTGAGAAGAAACTGGAAGAGATGAGTGAGGATCAGAGTATGAAGTGTCCAGAGACGAGTGATCTAGCAGCTGACAGAACTGGCTGGAAACATGCTATGTTTTCGATCCTCTCTCCATCTGAGCTAGATATGAATGACCACTTTCCACTGTTTACAGGCCAAAACGTAGTGGCTAGTGATATCAAACCTCCAAACTGTTTATTTCAAAGAGACTTTTCCCAGAATTTACTATTCAGTAACTCACAAAGGTTGTTTGAGGAACAAAAGTTCGGTTCCTGCTTTTTAAAGATGTCATCTGACCTGCATAATCAGCTTAGTCCTCCTTGGGTGTCTTCCTTTATAGCTGAAAGGAAAAATAAAAATGTCAGTCAGTCGACCAAGAGGAAAATTCAGAGCAGCCTTTCCAGTGCTAGTCCGTCAAAAACCACCAAAAACTGACTCTGCTTGGAAATTGAACGTGACTCAAAGTCATCAACCTGCAGATGTTTAATATTTACAGGTGAACTTAATTTTTAATGACTTCCATGCGATCTGATCCTGTCTTTTTCGACTATGTGAAAACTGAACGCTCCCTTGCCCATTACAAGCTCTTTCCTAGGGAAGACCTATTCCAGATTCTTTTCTTTGACTGAGCATTTTGTTTACTTGGGGGTTTTGGGGTGTTTTTTTAAGTTTTCAGGTTACATGACCTTCCAGTTGTAAGCACAGCTAATGGCCCCCTGGAACAGGACAGTTTTAAGTGGTCTTGTCAGATCAGTCATTTATGTAAGAATTTGCTTTAAAGGTTACGTTTCCCATTCCTAAAGATTACATTTTGTGCGTGTAAGGCAGCTAATGGCTATATATCCTACGGACTCATGAAATTGCTATAAAACAATGTCAGTGTTGCCATAAAACTTGCCTCCCAGAGGAAATGTTGCTGCTCAGACTGTTTCATAGCACTGTGCTGTACTGAACCTCTTGTTTTAAGAGGGTGTAAGGTAGCAGCCTCTTTCTTTTCAGGGTTACAGCACTTCAGTTAGAAAGCATCTCCTCTTTAACACTGCAAACATGGCTTGTATTTTTTTAAGTTAAGCACAATTTTTAATTTAGTTCCCAAAAAGCATTGTAATTTTAAATGTGTTCAGTATGCCTGTATAGACCATAAAAATGGGTTTGTATGCTAATGACTTGTTTACCTAATGTGCACTGAACATTTTACATTAATACTGTACCATTTTACATTAATACTGCATGCTTTTCTATGTGAATTGAATAAAACATACTATAAGCACTGTAATCCTTGATGTTGCCTCAGAGATTGAATTACCAAAAAGGGGGAATTTTTTTTTTGTGTGATTTGAAAAATATCTAAGTTTTGTAAAACATAAATGTGAGCTTATTCACAAAAAAATCAAATCTCCCTTCCTCCTCCTCCTCGTTAGACATATTGCCATTCTAGTGTCGGCATCGATACGGTTGATGGAAATGGCTTTCGGCCTCTCTGGAGGTGACTCTTCCTTGAAGTATTGCATAGGTCAACATAATGTGATGGCCTACTAGAGGCAGGAGACCTAATTAAGCAGCAGAGCAAAATTGGTTTCTTTGCATTATTGTGTTTAAGTCTTTTTTTTTAAGGGCATATTTAATTGTAAGATGCAGGTTTTTCTTTCTATATAGACCTCTGATGGCGTTTCTTAGAAACAGGCATCTTTGCTTCATCAATACCTATGATATCAAAAATCCATACGCTGCCTTTTGTCCCTTTGAAAAGAGGGATAGCCACTTGGAAAATTTCAAAAAACTGGCTCATCTTCTGTAAAATTAAGTCCTTAAGCAGTTTGAACAGGAACTATTTTTCACATTCGAATGTATGCATGCATTCGTGCAATGATGTGTTCATTCTAAACCGGGACTTCCATTTTTTGAGAAACAGCTTGACCACAAAATCATCATTCCAGCCATACATGCAAGGTCCCTTTCCTGGTGATAGGCAGGATGGCATTGTGCTGTCATATACTGCTTTCAGTATACCATCCAAATTTTAATCTTCACAGAAATATCTAGTCATTCACTTTTAACGTATTTTTCAGAAATTAGGGAGCTGGCAAAACCATCTGGACATGAGCTGCAACTTGATTTGACTAGTTTTATCAGTAAGGCAAAAAATGCTGCCTTGATTTAAACCTTTGGGAGAAGAGGCAAGAGCTTCTCAAATAAGTCTCTTAATACTTTCTAAAAACATCCTTGTTCTGCAAAGCAATCGCAAATATGCAGTAAATGTTAAAATCATTGTTTTGTTTCATTGTGGGTTGGGGGGGTGCATTTATTCCTCTTATACTCTGGTATACTTGCGATACACAAGTAATTTTCAGTGATGGAAACATGAATACAACTGGTATCATACCAGAAATCAAGCTAGAATAAAGGAAAATGGATTTTAGGGTTTTTTGTGCTAGTTTCTAGTCCTTTGGACAGGAACACCACTTACAGGCTTGCTCTTCAATACGGATATTTTGACACTACATGTCATACAACTTGAATGGATATAAGAGCCTAAGGTTAAAAAAAAAAGCTGAAGATCGCGGTCATGAACTTTATATCTTATCCTCAGGCAGGGACAGAGAGTGAGGCATTTCAAGCCAAGTACTGGCTTTTTACTTGGAATGGTCGTGGGACATACATTGTTACCTACAGCCCTCCCAGCTCCAAGCTGGTAACTTCTTACCTTGTGGCAAGAAAGGTAGTATCGTTGTCCATAATTACTTGATTTCCAAGCTCTCTTGTACCCTCAGATCTCAACTGCAGATACAGTGAGCAGGTTGTGATCACATCCAGTGCTATAAGTAGGAGCATTTTATGTTTCACAACTTGTAAAGCTGAAACAGATCTGAATTCTTGTATCTTAGTCTTGTTTTCTTTGGCTGGGATTTGGTTTGGTTTTGGTTCTTGTTTGGTTGGGGGGGGGGAGTTGGTTTTTTTAATTGAAATTGTTTTTAAAACAACTACCATGCTCTAAATTCCACATTTTATTTGGTTAATATAGATTGTATTCCTTTTGGCTTGAAGTTTGAGAGAATGATTGGTGCAGTATCAACTTACAAATTTAAGCTATATGTAATGACTAGGGTTTCTTCAGTTACAAATTTGTTTGCCGTACGTGCGATTTCGGTTCTCCAGGCTGCATTCTATCAATGCTGTGCTTGCTTAATCTCTTGCTGCACTTACCATTCTCTCTGAACAAAAGGGCCTAAATGAGAGTTCATTGCTGTTAATTTTTTATGATAGTTACCTAGTTATGTAGTAATGTAGAACTGGAATACACAAGATCTAAAACTCAACTATTTCAATTTTGATTAAGACAATAGGTGTTTCAAAGTGATGTGGAGATGAGATCTATGATGTCTAATGGTATTTACTAGCTTAAAAATTTTACTTCATTTAATAATACTTGCTGTACCAAATATGAGGCAAGTTGCAGGTTTTAACACAGGAGAAATGCTATCCAGGAGTATTGGTGTCACAGGAGAGTGAAGTTGCTACTGGCCTCGGTTCATTGCCAGTGAAATCTGTTGGGTCATACCGAAGAGCAAGAACACCAAGGTCAGGTTTTCACTTCGTTATCAGCAGTTTCACCTACAGGCTGTCTGGCAAGTGACCTGCTTCTCCATGATTCCATGAAGGCTTTGTGAGAGCCCAGTTCTGCTTGCTCTTGCTTCCCCAGATGAAAGGCTGCTGGAACAGCTGTACCTACCAGCACCAGATGCTGACTTGGGCTATGTTTGGTTTTGAATGTGCTTTATTGTCTCTTTTTAAAGTATCTTTAATAAGGGGACAAAGGGGACAACGCATAGCTTGTATATGCCATACAAAGTGTGGTAACTGGCATCTCCCTTCCTTCCCCCTTCATTTCACAACTGTTTCCATCACCAAATAATGTTATTTAAGTCCAATTCTAATTCTCACACAGCATCGAAGTCCTGCCTCTAACTCCCAGCAGCCGTAGACTTGAAAAATGGTCTTTACACACCTCTTCTGTACTGTGGTTATGGTAAATTTTCTGCAAACGGTGACGTTGACGGTCCTTCCTTGCTGCTTTTGGCATCGGACCGTCCCATGTAGATAGACTAAGGTTTATCCCTTCTCCCCTCCCAGGTTTGGATGAGAGGAAAAGCA